TATGTCGTTTATTCTTTTCTCATAAGAATTTAATGAGGATATTTTAAAATAGTTTTTCATTGACAACGTTAGTCTTAAAACAATTAAAAAAGAACACGCTATTATAGTGACAGTTGGGAGTACTGCATTTGTAGTTAACATACCGAATTTTCTATACGCTACGAAAAAACTTTGATTATCTTCATAAAATTGTGTTCGTTGAACCAATACACGTGTAACATTAGTACCATTAACTGTTATTTCAAATAATCCGTAAGACAAAACAATTGGAATATATATTGGTACAAAAACAAAATAAATTATAATAACTAAACATTTCATTCGAAAGGGAGATATACGACGAGATACAGAAAATGGATACCAGACCGCGATCATTCTTTCTACAGCAATAACTGTTACAAGTTGAATGCTGATTGTCGAAGAATACTGATTCCAGGTATACAGATAAACAAAAAAATATGAAAAAAATGTTTCCGAATAATCAATATCAAATATGTAGATTAAAAAAGGAATTTGATATACCAATTCAGTTACCGAAAAGAACAAATCTGATCCTGCCAAACCAACTAGTGCGATGTTTGTAGAAACATTAAATCCGTGATATACAATAACTTTGATTATGATAATATTTCCTAAGATCCCTAATAAACATATTATGTTTATTACAAAACATCTAATAAAAGTTCTTAACAAGATATATGTATCAAAAGGTAAATCATAAACATATGCATCATAACGAATGTTTATAAATACACTTGAGTTTTCACTAGGCATTACTGCTTTTTATTACTTCGTAGGTGCTGTAAGTGAAATAGAAAAAAAAGAGAATTTATTCGTTTAAATATCATAAACTATATTTAATTAGTGTATATTCTTTAAACAACGCTTAATTTCATATGTAGAAAATATTACTAATCGCATTTAAATGCACACTGGTTATTTGAATACTTCACAAACTTTACTTTACAACATTATAATATTGATATAAAAATATAAAAATATAAGAGAGTGAAAATGTGGCGATATATTTATATATATATATATATATATATATATATATATATATATATATATATATATATATATATGTTTTTACGTATAGGATTTGATGTTTTTATACTTTGGTTGAAGTGATTCTAGCAAATTGTATAAGCCCTACCAACTAACTAATCAATTTTTGATTGTATGTGATATGTATGAAATAACGTTTCTGGATGCAGTTAACTTGTATTAAACGTATTTTAGTTACGCTGGCTTTAAATGTTTGCATAACATATTCGATGATATCACAACCTATACTAACACACGCTAATTTTAAATGATTACAAATTCTTAATCAATCATTTTTCAGAAGTATTTAAAATAGTTACTATTCAAACCTTCTATGATATTTTAGTCTAATAAGGATCATAATTGTCAACAATGTAAGAAAACTTTGGTACAGAATTTAAATTAATCAACAAAACACTATCTAGTAACAAAAAAATATATCAAATCTAACAAAGTTGAGTAACATTTGTTGCAACAACACTAGAATCTATAAACAATTCGAATGATAATTCCATAAAATGAAAACAAAACACATGTAGCGTTCATAATAATTAAATCGATTTGTTTTAATACATCTAACCGTATTTATATAATTTCTATACATTTACGAAACAGCCATTTATTTTACAATAATAACAGCTTATTTTGACAATTTTGTGTATTTATACCTAACATAAAATATGACTTTGGTTACAAAGAAGAAAAAATGAGTTTTAATATATGGACAGTTGTTTTCGACTGAGAATAGGCCTATATTACTATAACAATTGTATACAGTATCTTATAATTTTTAATATCGCCCATAAATTTGAAGGTAATACATTCTTAGAAAGCACAAACCAAACAGTGAATGATTTTAAAGTCAGTAGTTCTGACAAAACGCATTTACCTATTTAAATGCACCTGAAATAAATACAATTTGCTTTCATTTAATGCTAGAAGAGTCATTTATATAATACCCGCTTTAGTAGGTTGTGGTATCTATGTCATAAGTCCAAAGTTCTTTTAACACGTTAGAATATTCTCGGGAAATGTTCTAGCTTTCAGTATTTAATATATGCTCTGTGAACATAAAACGAACATAGCACTATAATCATTATTTGTACGCCAAATGACTCATATATATATATATATATATATATATATATATATATATATATATATATATATATATATATATATATATATATATATATATATATATAAGAGCATGTTCATGTGCCTCAGAAATGGTTTACTTTGTTTAAAAAAAATTAATAAACAACAGGTACACTGTAAATAAAATAAAGATATTACTTTTATGCACATGTATGTTTTTTAAAAACATAAATGTGTTTGAAAAAAGCAAAAGGGTAGCTAACTATATTAGTTACTAACCAACCTCAGACAAAGAAGGAACTGAAAATTGTCTTTTAAAGAATGCAAGCTATTGAAATCGTTTTAAAGTTGTGTGTTATTCACTTCAGTAAGAATAAACGGTGTACACACTAAAATGTGTGACTGTATAATGTTTTGAATCATAAAATATTGACTAACGATATAATTTTTATATTTAATTTATTTTTAAAATGTAGAAAATAAAACAACTATTTGAAGCGTTTAAAAATTGTGTAAATACACTAAAAAAACACCATTTTTCTTTTTAAAATTCGTAGGTAAAAAAATATATGTAAAATGACATATTTTCTTATTTTCAGTGCATTTAAACGTTTATAATTTTATTTAGTTAGTTTAATTTTCACTTTTAACATGTGTCTTTTTTTTCACCAAATTTATATTAGTAAAAATTGCTTGCTCTGGTCACAACCTTAATGACAGCATCTCCATTATCAGCTATTGATATTCTTGGGTTGAAGGAGGTTTGATTCAATAACGATCTAAAGTCTGAAGTCCATTTAAGTTAGATCGCACCATCTATCTTTGTCACAAAATCTCAATTAGCATTTAATAACTCTTGCTAAATTAAATAGTATAGTTACTAAAATGTAGACAATATTCTTTAATTAAGTTGTAATAATACAGTTGCGGAAATATAAATTAATAATAGGTTTCTTTAAATCATTTCCAGTATTTTTCAAAATAGTAAGTAGCTTCAGTTCCCCTTCCAAATATGACGATCTATGGTACACGTGAAGTAGATTTCACCTGTTTCTACGACATCGGAATATACAATGGTTCCGTGGTCAGCTCTATTCCCACCCACTTCTACTTTCACTAACACGAGTTAGGTACCCATCATAGCTTGGTGGACTCATGGACGGTCTACTCACTGGAGCCCGGATTCGAACTCGAGACTTGCGGGTTAGCAGTCTAGCTCTTAAACTGTTGGCCACTCCGTCCGTATTCTTCTAAATATACCCCTCAGTATATGCCGTGAGCAACACTTATAAATCGTAAATATTTTTGTTTTCGTGTTTGAAAATTACGTTGAGCCTGCTAATATAATCACGAGTTTGGGTAACTGGATATAAACGGCCGAAACTTGCACAAAGTTGTTAAGCTAACTAAAGACAAGGAGCTTAACAGATTGATTATTTCCATTCTAGTTTAATAAATAAGGAAAAATAACAGTAATGAACATTTTGTATGCTCTTGCAAAATAGAAAAAAATTATATTAAGACCGTATAAATAAGAGTTTATGTCAAGGATTTCATCACTATGAAAAGGGTAGTAAGATACTAGAGTGCCTTCAATAACCCTTCTGACGAAATGAAAAAAAAAGTTTTTATAGGAAACATAATATATAAAATCTAACCAGTGTCCACTCTCTCCAACCCAAAACAATGGAAATGCACCCTTCTTAACTTCCCCCTTTCCCACACCCGTAGAGAAACATTTCATAAAGAAAGCCAGGCATAAAAGAGCCATGTGTGGAAGAGCATTTTACCGTCAGTTGGCCGAACTGACCCTTATGTGCACGCCAGGTGGGTAAGGAACACGGGGAAATATAGAAAAGAGAGATTATTAATCCTTTACAATATAGTAAAATATAAATTTAATATGATATATTTTTACCAAATACTTTTCTACTACGAAAATAAACCGGGAGTGATCTCCCCTAAACTTTCTCGAATATTCTTATATAAAATAACAGGGGATGGGAACTCGGGCTATAGACATGATTTTTAATCCATTTTAAATACTTAAAGTTTTAAAAATAGAATAAAATCTCGTAGACAAATTAATTGCACACCAAGTGAACGCCTAATAAAAAAGCGCATAATAGTGCGCAATAGTATTAGTACTTAATAAATTTACATTAGTTTTTGAGAAATCGAAAGTAGCGTAAATTACTACTTCCGGTCAACGGAAATTACTCAAAATTTAACAGAAGGTAGAGAATTAGATCTTTTACTTACATGTGAAATTTCATTTATCTATCTGAAATAGTACTCAAGTTATAGGCTTTTGAAAAATTCAAAGTAGAAAAAGTACCACTTCCGGTTGTCGGAAATCGCTCAAAAGTTGATACGGATCTACGATTTTGATATAATACTTATATATGAAATTTCATCAACCTAGCTGTAACGGTACTCAAGTTATCGTGTTTACACACGGACAGACACACACACAGACACACACACAGACATACGGACAGAATTGCAAAGCCCAGTTTTTCAGACTGGATTACGCATAAAACCTCTTAATTTTGATAAATCTGGATTGATAATTTTTGCCCGATTAAAATAAGTCCTCTATACTTCGGATGTGATGAAGGACTGAGGTGTAATACGGTGAAAATTGTTAAAATTTCAAGTTATTTTTGTGCACGATTACAATACTTTCTCTATACTTCGTATATACGAGAAAGTAAAAATAAACTAGATACATATTGCACATTTTTAACACACATTTAATTCACAAAATTAATGCTACAAGTGATCAAATTTGTTTTCAAAAAATCATATTTCCTTTCAGAAATAGGTTTTAAATTCAGCAGATAAATACATTTTTTAAAGCATTTTTATTCAGATTATACGATTACATTTTTTTTATTGTCAATCTTTTAGTAATATTGTAAAACATGTGAGATAAAGTGAATATATAGGTTTTAAATTCAGCAGATAAATACATTTTTAAAGCATTTTAATTCATTTTATAATTTTATTTTATTGTCAATCTTATAGTAATAAAGGAAAACATATAAGATAAAGTGAACATATTTTAACTATGTTCCAACCTGACGCCCAAGGAGGGTATCAAACACTTGATGTCCTGGAACTTGGTCGTAGCCTGCAGGGCAGTCAGTGACGTAACGGCCTGGGTGGGAATCACCAGGAGCTTGACCACTGCGTTGTTGCAGTCGCTGACGCTAAGTGTGTCAGGATTAAGAGAGAAGGCGCCAAACACGTCGTTCTGTGAGAGAAAAGTGGTGGGGTAGATAACTCCAGCTACTTCAGGGACACAGTCGATAAAGGTTCTGTCTTCTTCTTCTTCGTTCTTAATTTGAGTGCTGGAAGGAATCCCCCTCCAACACAATTAATTAAACGTGTTAACTGGTTATGCTCCATTGAGGCCATAGACTTTAATTTCAGCCTGCTTTCCATTTTGGATTTTCTTCAATAGCCTTTTGCCCAACCAAGAACAAACTACAAGTCATGCTAATTATATAATTATAGCTTGTTATAGTTTAGCCTCAACTTGAATTGTATTCAATGATTATCTCTTACAACTCTAACCCGCCATATTGTTCTATACTACACGCCTAGCTCTAGTTATGTTATTTACTTTATGTTATTTACCTTATGTTATTTACCTTATGTTATTTACCTTATGTTATTTACCTTATGTTGTTTACCTTATGTTATTTACCTTATGTGATTTACCTTATGTTATTTACCTTATGTTATTTACCTTATGTTATTTACCTTATGTTATTTACCTTATGTTATTTACCTTATGTTATTTACAGAGGTCTAGTTCAGGAACAAATCCTGTGGTGACGGTGACAAGGCGAGCGCAGTCATACGCGTTGTAGGCAGAATCTAGTGGTATAACTGATCTTTTTAAATCTACTCACTTTTCGGTTGCCATGACTTACCATGTGGCTTTGATTTACCGTGTAGCTATGACTTATTGTGTGGCTATGACTTACGTGTGGCTATGACTTACCGTATGGATGTGACTTGCCGTGTGGCTCTGGCTTACCGTATGACTTACCGTGTGGCTATGACTTCCCGTGTCGAAACGACTTACCTTGTGGCTATGATTTACTTGTGGCTATGAATTACTACCGTATGGCCATGACTTACCGTGTGGATGTGACTTACCGTATGACTTACCGTGTGGCAATGACTTAACGTATGACTTACCGTGTGGCTATGACTTACCGTGGGGCTATGACTTACCGTGTTGCTATGACTTACCGTGTAGCTATGACTTACCGTGTTACTATGACTTATTCTGTGGCTATGACTTACCGTGTTGCTATGACTTATTCTGTGGCTATGACTTACCGTATGGCTATGAATGACCGTATGATTTACCGTATGGCCATGACTTACCTTGTGCCTATAACTTACCGTGTGGCTATGATTTACCGTGTGCCTATGACTTACTGTATGGCCATGATATATCGTGTGCCTATAACTTACTGTATGGCTATGACTCATCTTAGTGATATGACTGATCCTTTTCAACCCACTCACCTTCTGTACCATGACCTGGCTCTCCACGGGTACCTTGTACGTCCTTCTCCATCCAGGCTCACACGTGAAACTGTTGGTGCCGACATGCTTGAAGCTGGATCTAGAGGAGTAGGTCAATGTCAAGGTCTTATGAACAGCCTACTTAATCACATTGTCGAAGTTTTATATTATCCATACAAAAAAGCCTCATCTAGACCAAACCAATAACTACCTTTATAACGTGTATACTATGTTATCTTAGTTATGTCCCATTCACAATGAGGAAACAAAATAGTGTATCTATAGTGACTAATCATTTTATTGCTTTCCATCAGTTGGACATTAATATTTACAACCGTTGCCATGTATCCGGATCCACACTGTGTTGACACACGCAAAACAGTACCATCAATGTTTCTTGAACGATTATTGAATTAAAAAATATTCGATATTTGGTTTTGTTGGAAGAAATTTTAAATGTAACACATTTTTTACTTTCTCGTATATACGAAGTATAGAGAAAGTCTTGTAATCGTGCAAAAAAACAAAAATCGAGATTTTCAGAAATCTCGACGATTTACACCTTAATGATACGGAAAAACATAATTTTGCAATCTTGTCCGTATGTCTGTGTGTCTGTGTGTATGTGTGTGTGTGTCTGTGTGTGTGTCTGTGTAACTGTAAACACGATAACTTGAGTACCGTTACAGCTAAGTGGATGAAATTTCATATATAAGTATTTTTACTTTGAGCGATTTCCGATAACCGAAAGTGGTACTTTGTTTACTTTGAATTTTTTAAAAGCCTATAACTTGAGTACTATTTCAGATAGATAAATAAAATTTCACATGTAAGTAAAAGATCTAATTCTCTACCTTCTAACAAATTCGGAGTAATTTCCGTTGACCGGAAGTACTAATTTACGCTATTTCCAATTTCAAAAAACGCATGTAAATTTATAAAGTACTAATAATATTCCACACTTGTATGCATATTTTGTTTTGGCGTTCACTTGGTGCGCAATTTTTTTTTTTCTACGAGATTCTATTCTATTTTTAAAAGTTTAAGTAATTAAAAGTCATGTCTATATTCCGAGTTGCCATCCCACGTAGTGTTATATGAGAATATTCGAGAAAGTTTAGGGGAGATCACTCCCGGTTTATTTATATACAAGTACGCTTACGTGGCTATAAAACATTTTATCAATACAAGTAAAGAATATTCGAAGAACGTCATACCCTGAAGGTCTGAAAACAATAAGGTTTAGGGGTCCAGCCTTTTCACAGTAGTAGTACCATTTGGTTATTTTACCATTGAATGGGATTCTGTGGAGAAACAAGGATGAACGCGTAGATGCGTTGGAGAGAGGTGACATTGCACGATGATTCTAAAAAATCAGACGAGTTTTGTGCTATGGCTCCGTCAAAACATTAGATTTAATGGACCGATTTAATAACCCAAAATTTAGTATTTTTTACCAGATTCAAAATTTGAAAATTCATAAGAAATTAGTTTGCAGATCTGCACTTAAAATTGTTAGTTGAGTACCCCAAAATATGTCAGGAGATTATAAATTGTCTTTGTTCATCTATCTATCTATCTTAATACTACTAAAAGTCAAGTTTGTTTACATGTTTGAATATTTATTTGTTTTTTTGTTTGTTTGTTTGTTTGTTTGCCTGATTGACTATCTCGCATGGTTGCACTCATCGTGGAAAGCTGTAAAATAGTATGTAGGTAGAGAAAAATTTTTGTTTTAAGACAGACTGTTAATCACACATTTATTTAAAGACGTTAATTAATTTATTGATTTATTCATACGCAGAGTAACCCATTTTTTTTTTAAAGTTTAGAACGACCACTACACTCGGCGGGACCGTGACGTCACAGTTTTTTGTTTACTCTTTAGTACAATAAAATGGCGGCGTCTATCGAAGAAAATTGTGTTCCCATTCAAAAGTTTAACGCGTTCTAAATCTAATTTTCTGTCGGTCATAACTTTAACAATACGTCCGTTTGCTGTATTTATTACGTTCCAACACTTATATCAATTTTAAACTGTCTTTTTTCATTTAGTTTTACAATAAATTTCTCTAGATCTAAAGATCAGCTGTCGAAGGAAAGTTATGAATCTAGCCTAGATTCTAGATCTAGCCTAGATCTAGGTCACTCTAGACTCAATGTAAATTCAAGATCTAGACTTAATGTAAATTCTACATCTAGAATCTATTTCAGGCCTTAATTATTTATATACATCTTTGTTTGGCTAATTTAAGATAAAATTTAATTTGAAAGTTACTAGATTCTACTACTAGACTTAGATCTAGATCTATGCGCGGAGACTCAAAAGTATAGTATAAAAATTCATTTGTGACGTCACGAGTAAATAGCTAAGTTTGTCGCGTAGTCCGCTCTCATGCGGGTGGTACAGGTTCTAGACCAATATGTCAATGATATTTTTTTTCAATTTTGTTTTTTTTTATATGTGAATGATAAAGTTGCCTATCTGAACTTGGCAGGATACAGGGCATGTGAAGTAGAGTTCATCTGTTTCTTTGTCCTAAGCATATGAAAGGATAGTGTGGTCAGAGACATGCTCGGCTGGAATCGTTTTTTAAACGATAAAAACATGTTGTCTGAGACTTGGCGGGACACTGGGCAGGTGAAGTAGAGTTGAGTAGGTCACATGTGACGTCAGTATATGAAGGGATAGTCCGAAATCGGTGTTTTCGGTGTTTTTAAAAGATAAGAAACATATTTTTGAATGTGGGGTCTGTTTTTGTGACGATAAGTGACACTGCAGTAGCGTAGCGAGGAGGGGGGGGGGGCGGGAGGGGAGGAGGGGGGGGGGCGGGAGGGGAGGCGGGGGGGGGGAAGGGGAGGCGTGAGGAGGTGGAGGGGGGGGGGGGCGGGGGGGACATATGTTGGGGCGCCAAAATGGTTTGGAAAAAATCAAATCGAAAGTTTGAGTGGGGGGGGGGGGGTGCACATCAAAAGTTTGAGGGGGGGGGGGGGGGTTGAAAATCGAAATCTTGGGGGGGGGGGGGGTTAAAATCGAAAAGTTTGTCCTCGGGCGCCGGGAAGGCTCGCTATGCCTCTGAGTGACAGACGTGATGTTTTTTGATGGATGACCCCCGAAACCCACAGTTATCCAACGGATGACGGGTATTCTAGTTGGACTTAAATTGTAATATATTATGAATGGTGGAAATCCTACGAAGAGGTTAATTTTCAACATGGCCGCCGTTGTCATAGTTACCAAAAAAATGTAACATTTTTTTTAGTGGAAATGCATTTTTGATGTACCTTAAAAAAGCTGTAGAGAAGACATGTTTAGCTCTCTAGTATTAAAAACTTTTTATTTACCGGAGCCTACCACCTTAAGATAACAAAGTTCACATGAAAGTAACAGTGTATCAGACCTGTATTTGGCATCATCCAGCAGAAATGCAATTTCCTTGGGCAAACTCTCCCGTCGGTTTCTGATGTTTCCCAACTGGATATCTACTGGCAACGGTGTAGCTTAAAAATAGTTGAAATATGAAAATGTTTACAAACTGCATAGAAACAATAACAAATGTAATATTATTAGAACCGCAACTCCCTACTCTTTTTATGTTGAGTGAGATCGTACAGAAGTAGGTTAATTTTAATTAGGCCTACTTTTAATAACATTTCATAAACAACTAGATCAAGTTAGTAATCAGAGTTTCTTCCAGGCATCTCTTGCTTCGGGGGGGGGGGGGGAGGGCTCTGCCCCACAAAGCAAATCTACCGCCCCCCCCCCCCCCCCGAACAAAATGGAATTTAAATAGAAAATATATGCTTTTGACAGTGTCCGCCCCCCCCCCCCCCCCCCCGCCCATGGAGAAAAAAAGTCTAGAAGAAACTGTGTTAGTAACACATTTATACTTTAAACCAAATTTAGCTGCCTGTTAATGCAAAGTTTAGCAAACTTATAAATGTCTTCTTTTTTCTATATCGACATTATTAGTATAAAACAACAGACGAAAGTATCTACGTACTGCGGCAAACTGGTTCTGACCCCAATAATGTACCGGAAGTTGAACACGCCCTGCTCAGGTCGCCACCCACGTGATAGAAACCATCATGACAAGCAAAGGTCATGACCTGGCCAGGGGAAATAACTGCAGATTGAGACGACCGGGAGTAATTTTTTCCTGCTGGTTCATTGCAGTGTATTTTGTCTGGAAAAAGTTATGGTTAGAGATTTATTGCTGAAATTAAATGGTAAATGAAACGTCATATGTTAAAGAAACAAGGCTAGGAAGAACTTATTCAAAATTTTTAATGGCCGGCCACATATGCTGATAGCATTACAATTTGTTTTCAATATATTTTTCACTCTAAAAAAAAACAAATTAACAATTACTACATCAGCTAAAAGAAACCAACACACTAAAAACTATTAAAGATGACACCTTAATAATAACTTGAATTACTGGTCTTTTAAGACCGGCGAAACATTACCTGAACATCCACCACAAGATTTCTCACAGAACGTCAAGGCAGAAATCTTGGAACTGCTGTAAGTGCAGAACTCAGGGAATTTGGTCAGAATCGTTTTACAGCTCTGGATTTTGTCGCCACAGGAGAAAGCCGCTGGAACAATCATAAGTTTAAACATAAGTCGAAAAATGAATTGGGTTACATTTGAAAATGTCCGATTGATCTATCATTATATATATATATATATATATATATATATATATATATATATATATATATATATATATATATATATAATACAATAAGATAGAGATTTTTATACTGGACTTAACATCGCTACAGATTTCGAAATTGCTTTGGGTTTTTAAGCCAATTGTATTTTCTCGCATGGATGCTTGACTGTAATAAGGACGAACGAAGTAGAACAAACGAAAATGGCGGGATACTTAATAATTTCAAAATTTTAAATTGTATTTTAGTTGGTTTTGACTTACAACCTTCTTAAAACACCAAGTTCAAACCACACTTTTTAGTTCTCAAATACACCAAATATCATACCCGTCAACGTTTATTTTGAAGAACATTTTAGGAGATTAAAGATGTGTTTTATAAATTAATTTTTATTACAATTTTTGTTTTCTTTTTCAGTGCATCACCAATAGTTTGTTAATATAAAACGTTTTAATTCGTATCCGTATTATTAAATGAATTTAAATTGATTATATATATGACAATATGACGTTAGATTCCTATTTAAAATCGTACTTGAAATCTTACGGGTTTAATACATTTACGTAATATAAAATGAATTAAAACTGATTGTAATTTAGACCAAATGAAGGTAGATTCTTATATTTTAAAATCTTACCGCTACAATCAGACGCCTGACCGGACCAGCCGGATTTGGTACATCTAATTATGTTCACAAAAGCCCCGGATGTCGTACAGGTGACGTTAATGATCTCCCCTTCCTTGTACCCTGACTTTAATCCTCCAGCGGCGCTTACATCAGGTGGCAGCTTTGGTGGGCTGCATGTCGCTGAGAAACAGAGAATAGGCCAAAATTCTTTACAAACTAATAAACCGAATATTTCTAATAAAAGACTTTAATGCTGTGACCTACTTAGGTCTGGTAATGTTTATTTTTACATTTGTTATAATACCATATATGGTCTGTGGTGCCATGACCGGTTTTTTTCCGCTGTCTTACTAAGAGAGTCTTAGACTCAGAAATTTTCCATCAAAAGATGATTGATTGATTCAGACCAGATGACCACCCCAACCAATGGCCTTATGATTTGAAGGTGACCTTCCATGTTGCCTAAGTCTATAAATAGACTGCGCACAGGCGT